ATTCATCATTATTCTATTGTATTTTTTTTGTCTGCACTGTTAATAATTTGTCTATTGACTCCGTTTCCATATTAATCACATGATCGTTAGGGAAAATGAGTTGCTACTTTTAAAAATCTCTTATCAGAAGACAAGAAAATCCGATAGACAGGAATAAATACTTTTTCTGTTGTTCGAATTCATAACCCATGTCAGTACATAAGTAACATACAGGAACTTGGAGTATTACAATTTATAAATCTTAAACTGCACATAACTAGTGATTATGAGGTAGAGTTGGAGTATTGTGTACGGTCAAATAATTCCAGTAACATTACAAATAATGCTAAAGCGCTTCTTTCTTCCTTCCAAAATATAAAATTAAAGTTAGTGATCTAATTATCATCTAGTTCAACTCATTTATGTTTATTTTATAAGCATCAAGAGTACAGTCTCTATAGTATTATGATCGTCGGTGAGATTTTAATTTATGGATGATTTGTGAGCGATGCTAGAGCAACCTTGAGAATGTCTACCTAATTTACAGTTGATGGTAAGAGTTAGGAACAAAATTTAAGGTTTCCTTCACGAACTAACATCAGCAGAAATGTCAAAACGCTCTTTAACCAAATGAATGAATGGGTTTCGCGCCAAAATGCAAAATTTATTATTTCTAATCTGATTGATTCATCCATAAATTATGGTCTTGCCTGATCGTCTCCTAATTGTTAGATAATTCTTCTTATACTTAAGAAATAGTATTTCATTTCCACAAATATATATATTCAAAATACCTTTAATAAACAATAATTGAATGCTTCGACTACTGATTATGAAAATGTAACATATCTTTCAATGAAATGATATAATACTAATGGTCATAGTTATATTCATTTTTTGCGATGATAAATAGTATTATTTGATAGTTCAAGTTGATACTGGGCACATTTTTCATAGGTATGATGGAAATATGCGTTTGCTAATCGAGACCGATCAGAAACAGTCCTTAATACTGTGTTGGTCATCTTTTGGGATATATATCTGGAACATGGGTATACATCTATTATATTTGGAATTACAGTTTTGTGATTATAAATCTATAGATGTTTGAACCTTTTTCATACGCATAATTTTAGAACCTTGAAGTGACTCTTGACTGAAGCTTCCATTTATATGCTCTAATGAGTGTTATAATCATTAATTCAACATTCTCATATAATTCTGCTCGACTTAGCACATGTATTACTTAACCTGGTTGTAAATCTGCTCTTGTTTTGTGAATTGAATTTATACACAGTAAAATAGTTGAACCTCTAATCCATCGTCATAGACTGACTAACAATTGATGGAAACTAAAGAGAACTATACAAAAATCTCGTTATTTTATAGCTCACTTCAGTTATTCCAGTGTATAACACCCCACTGATGTTAATCTAAAGTCTTTGGTCTTCATCTTCATATTCTACAAATAAGATATCTGAATTATTCAAAGTAACTATTTGTCAAATCATCCATATTGCCAAGTTCACTACTAAAACTTCAATGATATAATACAAAAACATGTATGAACTGAGTTCTTTCTTTATTAATATGAAGTCAATAATCATTATCACTATAATGAAATGATTGATTAATCATAATTGAACTTTGTAAAGAGAAAAAAATGAAATGAGAATGTTTAACTATTAAAAATCAGTTACTATTCTTATTGTTTTAAAAATATTCTATCTTTTCTAAAGGTTAATTTTCTTTTCATGAATTCTCTCTTATTATTTAAAAACACGAGTTGATTTATTAGTGAATTCCATGGAATGATTCAAAATTATATTTCCCACCTCCCCTCCCCTCCCCCCCCCCGAAAAAACACACATATGCTACTGTTTGACCTATTTTATTTAAAATTAATTACAATCTATCCACTATAAGTTTCAATTTCTTTTTTTTTGTGTGTGTGTGGTTTTTCCATATTATTAATAGATTGTTTTTAATTCTTTTAAAATGAAGAATAAGGTCACTAAAACTCATCTGTTTCAACAAATGAAATTAAAACTGGCAGAAAGGTTAATATTATTATTAACGTTATTATTATTATTCTTATATTGTTTTTTTTTTCTGAAAAATTAATTGGAAATTTTTTTATGGAACAATAAAGATTATTTAGTAATGACAAGAAAATTAATGTAGGGAACAGTTTAATAATTTCGATTTGTTTAAAGAAAATAGTTTCTGATCGAAAAATAATCGAGGTTTTTTTTTGTTTCAAGAATTTAGAATGTTTACTTAAGTAATAACAACAGAATAATGATATTAGTATTCAGTTCAACACGACCTCAAGAGGTAATTAATTTTAAATAAACTATTTCAATAAAATGAAGTCTTTACAGAATAGTTGAACTAATCAAATGTTCATATATGTCTAAACTAATAAGCTGATACTCAAAATAGTTTGTTACAGGCAGTCTCTATAAAGTTGAATATAGACATAAATACTTACTAACTAGTATTAGGTGTACTTTTATATTCAGTGTCTCAAGTTTATTGTTTTTAAATAAAACAATGCATATATTAAGTTCTTCCTACATTTGAAAATCTAGTATGATATATCACACTAACTTTCAACCCACCTTTATTCTAAATAGTTGTGAGAAATAACGTGGATAGATAAACTCATAATTTTCATGCTTAGACATTTTTACGTACTTTATATGGAAAATATTTGATACTTTATATTGTTGGGAAGACCTAGAATATTTCTCAAAAAACATCCAGAGGGGTCTTGAAAACTCTGGGAAACATTTTATCTATTTAGCATGAAATAGAAGTATTTCATAAATACCTAGAAAGTGAAGAGTCACGTGTCACATTTCTAATTGAATGATTCCTGAAACTTGCAGATGCCCAAGGCCGTCCGAAATGCTATAAATACAATAGATTTTCGGTACATATACTAAAGTTGAAGTAAAGCTTTCTTTCCATATTTCACGCCTTCTCTCTTGTGTTCACGTTGTCGTGTAGATTTAGCCTGAAATTATTCGAAGAGTTTATAAAGCCAATTCATGGCGTTCAGTCAGAATATTTATCAAACATACTGAATCACAGTCGATGATTTATTTACTTCACCTACTTAGTATTTCTGTATATAATATAATTTTTATACTGATGATAACTTCATAATTGTTGAATTTATTTTCTTGGCTGTAGAGTTTGAACAATTACCAATGCCTAATTGTTAAATCATTTAATTTATACTTTTACCCCTGTGTTATATTGGTTATTTTACACTTTTGTTACATTTCTCTGAGATGCTGAATTTGTAGTTACTCCGAAATCATACTCTTTCAGAGAGTATAAAATTCAATTTTTATTGCTCTGATTAGTATCTAGCAATTTATATCAAATTGATCATTATCTACAAATAAAAAGTACATGTATTCTGGATTAATTTTTAGGATACATTACATTTAATTGAGATCATGAACCGATTGATGTTAGACCATCATTGAGAACTTGGAAGTACTGGACGGTCGTTTCACCCTATTGTGGGACTCCTCAACTATGCACATCCACGATCTCGCTCGCAAGATTCAAACCCAGGTCCTTCAGTCTCGGGAACGAACACTTAACCTACTAGACCAATAGTGTTAATGTCTAACCTCAACCAATCCACGAAACATCAATCGGTTCATGATCTCAATTAAAAACTTAATAACCTTCACAACCCCTATACCGACATTACATTTAGGTTGTTACTCAATTTGAAGATAGGATATCAAAAATTATGCAAATTTATAAGATTTGACATAATCATTTCGATAGAATGAAATACTTCGATTTAAAAATAAACTTTGTATCAATTGGTTTCCAACTACATAACCTTAATAATTTGTTTAACTGATCATTTTTAAAAAAAGTCAACTTAGGCACTTTTATATTCTCTTAAAAAACTGGAAGTTTTTAAATGTCCCCCCGTCCTCAATTCTGCTTTTTTTACAATAAAACACAAAAGCTTTATAAAACACACCTTATTTTCTTACTGTTTCCGTTATAAAGTTCATCAGTTTTTGTTACTATGATGATTGAAAATTTATTGAACCTGTGTAAGTGAAATTATCTCGAAATGATCAAAACTACACTGAAATAGTCAGGAAATAAAAGTGAATTTTACAAAAAAGAAACTAGAAGTGAATGATATTGAGTGTTTTCATAGTGGGCAGAGTTTCTTTTTATTTGTTTATAAATCTGTAAGGTGATTTCCGTGACTATAACTTGTAATCTGAATAAGATTGATAGTTAATGCAGAAAAACATTAAACAGCTTAAAGAAAGTCTATATATGTAAATCACAGTAGTTATTACGTTTTAATTAAACCATAGTATTAGTGAGTATTAGATCAACTAAATCTGAATGTTTTATATCATCAGCTCATTAACATCTAATTGATCTTAGATTCATATATTTGATAAAACTATGTAAAGATTGTTAGTTATACAATTTGAATAACTGTATCCATGATGTCTGTGGTAATGGTCATATAATTTATCACTAATTTTACCAAATAGCAGGAAATCTAGCTATCAACTTAATAAGAATACGTTTATTGTTTTTAAACACTTTTACATTCTCATTTTAAATCAAGTCATTTCAGGGAAATTTATGCATTTCAATAAACTTATGATAGCTTATAATATTCATAAATGCATTTCTTATGTTTACACTGAAAGTTTACTAAGCATAAAATGTTTGGCAGGCGAGTTTAAAAGAAGGTGAGTCTACAAATCGATCATGATCACCGATGTATAAACATTGTAAATACACATAATTATGAATAATATGAATTCTGAGAAAAATCATCTATTCGTTGCCGTAGATTTTATGGATCTTAATTACTTTGGTGACTTAAACAGTTTAAATTTGCATTAGTAATTAGAAAGAGATAAAAGTGATATGATTCAAAATAGTCTGTATGTACATTATAAATATGTGCATTAAATATAATTAGAAAATATAATGTCATTACTTACCTAGCCATGCTCCAAGACACACTAATTTAGCTTGAACCTCTGTCATTTTTAAATTTTGCCACGGTAATACAACAGCTAAAAATCGACTTGTTGTTAAGCCAAGTAACATGAAAGCTGATGAAAACACCGTCACCTAATAAAAAATAATAATAATAAAATATTCAGAAAAATGGAATAAATAATCCATTCATAGATTTGAAATCATATTTGTGGTTAACTATTATCTAAAACTACCATATAAATCTAAATATACTAAAAATCAGAAAAAAAGGTCAGTTTAATCTCCAAGTACACTTCTTGAAATATTTAAGTGTCACTAAAAAAAATTATCATGGTGGTCCGTAGAGAAAGTTACCACTGGTTTATTTTAATTAGATTGACAACAATGTATGAATGCGAGAGTTTCTTCAATTGTTTTTCTTTTCTTTTTTCATTTGTATGTTTTATTTACAATTCATTGCAAAATAGTTGAACGAATGAAGTCGTTAGTACAAACAGAGATTATTATATACACGGAAACTATCAAGATCATTACTTCCATTGAATATATAATTAAAGCAATTTTCAATAGAAAACGGAAAAAAATTAGTTGTCCTTTAGAATGTTAGATTAGTTTATTTAAATACCGTTCTATTTTTTTTTAAAAAGGATATTTGCATAAGTCTAACGCCATTTCATTCTTTCGGTTCATGGTACACACATTGTTTTTATTCAAATGAATACTTAGAATATCGTATATTACCAGTGAATTGATGATATGTAAAAAATTATACAGTCGTATCGTGTGCAAAACAATTAATACATCATCAGTTTAAAATCAGTTAGATGCCAGCTCAGTGGTCTAGAGGTTAAGCGTTTACTCGATAGACCGTTAAGCTCTGGGTTCGAATCCCGCTCGCAGGATCGTAGATGCGCACTGCTAGGAAGTACCATACTAGGACGAAACGGCTGCTCAGTGTTTTCAGGTTTTTCATGGTAGTCTATCTTTAATTGATTCATGCATTGAACTAATAAATCACTAAAATCTCCATAAAACCCCTCTCTGATAATTACTTATTCGACTGTTATTTTTTCATAAATTGGAATTTTCTCGTCCAATTTTCATTACTAACTCATTTTCACACTACTCTATTTCATTTATACTGTTGCGTACAGTCTACTGAATTTCGTACACGAATATTTCCTTTGTTTTAGAGGAATATAAGCTGTATGTACTAATCTCTTCAGATAGTAATCGATTATTTAATCGCTTCAATTGTTATAGCTCATGTTTTCCTCATGTTATTGTGATTACATGATTTACTTTTTGTTACTGAAGTTATATATAATTCTTTGTTCCTTACATTGGTTTTACTTGTTATAGAATTTTACCTTTTCTTCCATTGATCCTAGCTCTAATAATTGACGTCACAATTTCTTTTTATAGAGCTTTTTCTCTAACCTACACCCTTTCCTTTTACTAGTTATACTTTCGAGTCATTTCAAAACATTATTATTTTGTTTTTATTACCTACTATTAAACTGCTTTCAGCGAATTTGTTTCATTTTGTTGCGTTAACATTCATACAACTGAACTTATCACAATTAAACAAATGTGTGATTTTTTGATTGAGATCATGAACTGATTGATGTTAGACTAGCGTGGAAAACCTGGAAGCACTATATGACCGTTTCATCCTAGTATGAGACTCCTCAACAGTGCGCATCCACGATCCCACCCGCGTGATTTGAACCAAGGGCCTTCAGTCTCGAGCGTGGACGCTTAATCTCCAGACCGTTGGGCCGGTATCCGATGGTATTAATGATTAGCCTCAACCAATCCACGAAATCGCGCGACCACCTTCCATTGTACTGAGGTAAATACCTGTCTCTACCCGACACGGATTAGCTCCACTGGTCACGGATTCCCACTAGATCTCCAAGAATTCGCGCACGAGACCAAAGACCCTAGGTTAAAATCCCAAAGGTGGGATCGTGGATAGGCACTTTTGAGGAGTCCTATACTAGGACGAAACGGCCGTCCAGCGCTTACAGGTTTGTAATGGTGGTTTGATATCATTCGGTTCATGATCTCAATCAAAAACTTGTTAATCTCCACAACCCTATACTGATAAATATGGAATTATTTTATAAATAGGCTAGTTACCACTGTCTTGATGATCATTCGACACCACATTTTATAACTTACTAATGATAATCGCTTTGTTCATTACCATATTGTTTAAATGGAATAAACCATTCTTAACACAAGAAAAATCTTAATAATTTAGTATTTAACTGTCAATATTTAATTGAATTATTTTTATGCCAAAAAAGTCTAGCTAAAATTCATTCTCAACAGTGATTATCTTGTATTTCAATTCTTCTACAAACGCTTTCAGTCGGTTATATCTATATAACACTACCTTTATCACATAGATCTCAATGTAATCAGGTCTTTCTTTCATTGAGCAAAGCCAAACACGAAGAAATTACAACTAGAGTGCTAGTTTACCTTTGAAGTTTTTTTCTTACACTTGATCTTCTTTCTGCGTTAGCGGACGATTATTGTTATTGTTTACAAGCTGCCGTCCACAATAGAACGTTTCATATTAAAATAGTCTAATAGTGCCTTAATTCATAAATATCGTAAGGGAACCGAGGACTTTAAAGCCTAATTGTTCTTAACAATATTTATTCTTGACTCCGTATTTTACTTGAGTATTTACGGTTTCCTTACTTTATACGAATGAGAAAATTTAGTAGATACATTTAAGAAATAAACTTTAAAACGATCTTTTTGCATAGAATGTTTAACATTTGCGAAAATATCATTAATCGTTTTTGACGATTCCATTTAGATATTGCCGTGTTCGGATGATTATGTAACCGAAGCAATAACAAATTCTAACTGAAGGAGTTATTTATTAAATGGACATGTAAATCACTGAATACCGGCTTAATGGTCTATAGATTATTTACTCGCACCAAAACCTGAAAATCCCGTCTCTAGTTCCTGATGTGGTCATATATGACTACTGTTGAGTTGTTAAATAATTTGACGGAATAGTTGTCCAGTGGTCGTTTAACTCTCATTTTGTGATATTAATTATGAAGTTGAATTTTAAGTTAATGAAATGTAATACTTAACAACTACAAGAGGTGTCTTAACTCTTATATTTCCAATGATCATTTAACAATATAGCTTTTTAGTGAAATATAACATAATTTTGATGGAGTTTTGTTTTCTGAGCTCAGGTACCTGAAGTTTGTGCTGATAATGTCATTCAGAAAAACGATGAAAGCTCCACAACCAAATCATCCAGTACAGAGAACAAAACTCCATCAATTATTCACCTAAGCTACAAATTTTCTACACCATCTCATATAACATAATGAATTAACCAAATATGAAAATGTGTATATTATTGCATAGTTAACTATCAGGGTTTATAACATCTAGGAAGATTAACATTAATATTTTTTTAGTTGTTAAGTGAATACCAATTTCAACTAAAAACAACCTAGTTTCATTGCATTAATTACATGTCTATATCAATGTTATCAAAAAATACTCTTCACAAATTATAATCTAAAATATTAAACAGCTGTTTCCAAGTTAATTATTAATGAATTATTACAGTTATCTAATTGTTTTAACAAACTATTCATCATATAATAAATATTTAGTAAAATAAAAGATATACATTCGTGCAAGAATCGTTGTTACTAAGTGAATAAACCGCTTAGATTATTCTATATACTTGAATACATTAAAGTAGATTACAACTATTTATCAAAGCAAAGTTGATTTCAATCCATGTTTATTTGTTTGTTTATTTGTATGTTTGTGTATGTTAAGTGTCATTTAAATTATTTCATGTGATGAATTTAACCATAAGAACAAATTGACTATTTCTAATATTTCTCATCTCAACTTCAATGAAAACAGAGGTATCTTAAAGTTATGAATAAGTGTTTACGTAATGAATAGATTTCTGAATGTTTCTTAACTTCAATCGATATTTTATGTTTCTTCAGAAAAATTATACGGTCGATCAAAGAAATTAATAAAAATGTACAAAAAAAATAAAGCAAGAACAATAGAATTTACACAATGATATGGATTCATTATGATTTAAGAGTTCTTATCAGAAGGAGAAAAAAAGAATTCAGCGAAGAAAATTTTCTTTTCGATGAAATCATTTACTTAATCTGTACATTCGTATATATAGTTATATGGAAAATGTATGTCTATTGGAGGATAGAAAGGATTGTATTACAAAAATGTATTCGAGAATAAATAACAAATGAGGTTAACGTACTAATCATGAGGTAAGGAAGAAAATAATTTATGGGTCAGATAATAGTCCAATTGATAGATCAGCTTTAAATGACTTGTACTTATTCTAGTATGGGATTCCTCAGGAGTACACATCCACGATCTCTTCGCGGGATTTACATCTATTTACATCTATCAATGGGTTAGAACATATGAAAATGAGAGAAATTATTTGTCGTATACAAAATTGTTTGTAATTTTTTCACTACAAAATGGAATAATATACCCTCCCCAGTTACCACTTTGGTTACATGTATGGTATGACGGGATAAAAAATGACATTATTTAGGTCAATATTTTTTTGTGTCAATTCATTATGAATCCCGGTCAAAGTGACAATTGTGAGATTTTTGCAACATTTATATTCTCTGCATCAATTTAGGTGAACTGTATTCAGTGTACGTTTCTCCAGTAACTCTAAATATTTTCAATTATATTTGACATAATTATGTAAAAATTAGTGTATAAATGGTTATATTTTGGTCTAACGAACACGAGCTTTTCGGACTTACCTTTTTAGTGGTTCTGGCATAAACAAGTCATGTATAAGCAGTACGAATATGGATCCCCGAAGGTCGATACATAAACAACAGAGACGAAATGCCAGACGTAACAGAGGTAACTTCAGAAATAACAATGTGACTATTTTTAATATTATTGTAAAATAATGAGCAATTTATTTACCAACTAAGTTAGATTAGTCATATAATTGCAACATTAGGACATAAAATCTTAATTAGAGATAATATCTGGTTATTACATTACGGTAGTCATAATGTGGTGCGCGCTACTTATATTGATGTAATAAGTAG